ATTGTCCGAGAAAATATACTTTTCTTGTGAGCTGCGGTTGCTCGGAGAAGGATTCAAAGCCTTCCAGCCAGCGAAAGCCATCACGGATTCATTCCCTCATTTTGCGCGGCAGATGAGGTGGATATGATTTGGGGGGGGTAAAAAGAAAGCTTCCATTTCTTCTTGTCGCGCCTGGCTCGTAGCTCAGAATCTCAAATCGCTCAAATGGGACGTGACTCGTTGATTGCGCGCTGGAAAGGGTGATTGGGTCCTCCGAGAGTCACAAGGCGTTCTAGATGATATAATGAGGTACGGTGCTTCAAAACAAACTACGCTGGATGGGCAGTGCGTGATGGCACTGCCAATGTCTGAATCACACACACCAAAAACTAGACTGCACTTTTAATCTAAATTTCAGGTTTTCCTCCTCGTGTTGTGTTGTGTTGTATATTGGCTCAGATATTTCGGCCATCAGTTGCTTCCATTCACAGACGCTCTTCATCCGCCCACATCATTCAAACCAGCGTGTCATTGCACAGGAGCAATAGTAAATATACATTTGAAATCTTCATTTTTAAATGCCGTATTACTTATCTATTTATTTATTTAAATTAGCTGTGAAAGCATCTCCTTCAAACAACTGTATTTATTTAAGTTTCTTGCCAAAAACTCAATTTTACAAGATTACATTTGAAGGCATCATGATAGCTTTATAAATGACCTTTAACCGCTACTCATTTTTACAGAACAGAGCTTGAACGCATCAAAATGTAACTCAATGCAACCTCCTTTAACGTTAGCCTTAGCTCCGTTATTTAGCCGAGCAGGACTGTGCTGCCTGCCGGCTGCTAACAGCTAATGTTAACTAGCTGCTAACAGCTAACGTTAACTAGCTGCCCATTCTACCGATTTCAACACGGATTTGTTGTTCAATTCGATCAGCACAACACGCGCCCTGTACTTGGTGTTGCTAGGGTCAAACCAAGTCCAGAAACTTGAACACGAGCGCAGAGAAAGTTGTTCTATTTTCAGTCATGCGTCTGATTTTCTCTCGATGGAGGTCCGATTCTGTTTGTGTGTCAAAGATAAAGATAACCACATCAGAGCCGAGCTGTACTCTAACTTAGTTTATATGTTGTACCTCCAATGCGGCTTTTATTTTTGTGTTCGACCTGTGTGTGTCTGCTTATTAGTGCCAGGTGTAAGCAACCGTTGCTTTTCTTAAGACTCCTCATCTCACCCTCCCTTCTTCTCAATTACGGAGGTTTGCCGCCGTGTTTCTCTTGCCCCATGCCGGTCTGCTCTGAGAGAGCGAGAGCTGGGAACGCTTGCGGGGGGAATGGAAGAATTGCTGAGAGGGATGAAGAAAAGAAACAAAAAAACAGCGAGGACGGACAAACCCAGAAATCGGCTCAAACCAAAGAAAATATTGTCGTTGAAATTTAGGCCAAGAGGCGTGCGGAGTATTCGGAGGAAGGAGGACGCCCATGTGGTGGCCATGTGTTCCCAGCAGATCGCCGTAAGGGGTGTTCAACGGGACGGCCCGTGACGTCATTTCCCGACCAGCCTCAGTTTGAAAACGGCCTGCTGTTAATACCGAGACGGGTCGGAGGAATGCTACGGCACCGTTGGCCAAAGAAAAGCCTGGCTGAGGGGAAGAGCAGCGCGGGCACTTCAGGTCGAGACCTCCGAGGTCCGCTGCAGCCTGAAGGTTGTGACCTTGGCTCAACTGTTGGCGCTTCATGTTACCGTCTCACTCACACGCACACTCACACACACACACACACACACACACACACACAGCATTTACAATACAGACTACTTTAGCTCCTCACTTCCTGTCCACAGAGAGGCACTTTGTGGTTCGGGTTAGAGTCCCTTCACTCTAATCAAACTCACAAAAAACACATTTGTCTCGTGGTGTTCAGTCATACAGATACTTTAGCTTTCTTTCATGCTTGTGAAGTTGTAACCTCTACACACACTCGGTATATTTCAAGATGACTATTTATGCTTTAGAAAGTAGTTCCAGCAAGGTCTGCCTCCTCCACTGCATTGGACAGTATACGTTTCATATGTTGCCATCACATAACATACCTCCATTGCGTGACCCTTTTAGGTTGTTTTTTTGTGATTTGGATAAACACACCCAGAAGTTGCATGTAGGTGCGTCCACTTTGTTATTTTTGGAATATCAGTCCAACGTCGTTCGTATTGTACAATTTCATTGCATCGTATTTGTTAAATTCAAAGATTGTGCATTTGCAACCGTCGTCTCGTCACAGGATGGTCACACCGACACAGCGCTGTGATGTTGTTGTGTTGTCAGAGGGAGCGTATTGAAAGTCACTTTCCTGTCCGTCGTCGTCGTGCACAACGCGACGTATGCCGTGAAAAAACGAAGTACGATTCGTTCGGCGAGTTTGTTCTCGAAACAAAATTTGACTCATTGACCAGATTTTCTTATAGGAGTGGACACAACCTAATGTGACAGCGGGGCGGGTTTCATCATCCCACCTTTTCATCTAGAATTGATGCTTCGCAGCTCTACTTTTATTTTTAAGGGCTGGCATTTTAAATAGATTTCCAAGCAGAGTCTTTTTAGTTCCCCCACACTGTCTCGCAAGTAGGCCACGGATTGATTGAAACAGAGGCATAGGCAAAGCAGAGAGAGGAGGTGGAACTGAACTGAGCGAGTGAAAGTGCCAGAGGAGGCGGAGGAGGAGAGGCTGGGGAGGGTTTGGGTTTATTTTATACCTTTCTGCCAGTATAACCCCCCTTTTTCTAATTAAACTGCAAATTAACTTTCCGCAACTACAGATATAGACTCTGCTCTCCCTCCCTTCCCTTCCGCTATTAGACTGTCTCTCCGGGGGGGCCCCCCCCCAACATCTGTTCATCAGAGACGGGGTCAACCTAAATCCGAGTGCTCCAGAAAGCCCCGGTTGAATTGCTACAGGAGCGAGCTGCTGTTGCTCTTCCGCTCCACGTGGAGTTGATCTAGGACACCTATCCCCCAGATGAGTGACTCCAAAGACTTGTTTGTTAAAACTGTCGGCACTGCGGTTTAATTGCCTCATTTCCACGGTCACCCCTCCTGTCACCCCCTGCTGCAGGAGTCCACTTTGATTTCTTTAAAGAGATTCAATTCATCGCACCCCGTGAGTGTCTTGTGTGACACACAGGAAACCTTTGAAAAATCAGAGCGCAGCTAACGGCGGTCCTGGGAGAAGGGACCAATGGAAAAAAAGCTAAAAATATCCGCGCGATTCGTCAAGGGCTATGATTTTACTGGATGGTACCGTCACTGGGATCCCAGAGACACGCACAGAAACGTATTCGGGTGCGCCATCTGCCACCAACGGCGTCGAGTCTGACCTGTCGATGCAGACTTGTGACTGCGTGTGACCATTAACAGGAGTACCAGGATGGTCAGGTGGCAACTCTCCTGGTCTGAACCTTTCTGTTCCTCTGTCTCCGTCTCGCTCTCATTTTCTCTTCCTCCATCCATGTGACTAATGACAAGGTCCAGTGCTTATGTCCTTATATAGACCTGTGCTCTGATCTGTCTGAGGCTGGGACCGCGGTGCACACACACACACACACATACTTGGTAAGTCTTGAGGCATTTAGGTGCCCCTGCACGTGTCAATTTATACCACGTATAAGATCTTAATCAGGTTCTTCACAGGAGCAATTTGTAATTTCTTTTTTCGAAAACACATTTCTGCCATTAATTTCTACCTTGATGATAAAAAAAAAAAATAGTTCATTTTGGGGAGCCCACTTAAGGCGGGGACACTCGCTGGCGAGCCAATTATGAATAGGATTTGGGCGTGATGACCAATCGGGAGTTGCATCTTGTCCGTTGCAGTCTGGGCCAAATGGTGTTAACAGTCAGCAGATAAAATCATATAGTGAATGACATGTAAAGATTATTATCATAAGTCTAGCAGGACATCGTACTTTATCACTAGCCTCTCGACTGTCTTTTGGAACTGGTAGCCATTTTTAATTAGCTACAATGTCGTTAAATTTCTAAAATATCGAAATCAACAATTAATCGTTGTGATGTGTCTGTTACACCCCCTCTGTCCAAGCTTTAGATGAGTCGGACTCTTTGGGTCGGCGATGTCTTACACCAATGAATTGGAGATCACCTGTTTATCAGGTTGATGTTGCCACTGACTTTACATCGTTATTCAAACTACAGTGAGACATTTTGAAGAGGTATCGACGTCGGTCACCTAGGTAGACGTATCGGATCCTTTTCATCTGAAGAGAGGTGATTGTGATCCTGAAAAACTCTCAAGCCGTCATCACACTTTATTTACATTCAAGGACAAATACGTCTTATTTGAAGTTACACCCTTTCATCTTCAACTACATCATGTGTGCAAGTGCAACATCGGAGTGAAAGCTAGCATTGTTAACATATCGTCAAAATTATTTTTAGAAACGGTTGTCATGGCGACGATGTATTTGGTTTACATTGTATTACATTGGGGCTTTGCTACAGATACCCACAGAGCCCGCACATCCCTTGTGTAATCTTATTATAGACTAGTTTTGTTAAGACAAACTTTCCAACACACGCACACAGAGCAGTTCATCAGACCTAGTTATCGACATAGGGAGATCTCTCCTTAAATGGTAGACTGCCCAGGGCCCTGTCTCCGTTTCCACTGCACAAATTAGAGTCCAGGTCTACGGGATAGCCTTTTAAAGTGGGAGAGGGGGAGAGAGAGAGCAAGCAAAAGAAGGGGAGACAAGGGTAGAGGGTTGGCGGTGCCCTGGAGAGCGTGATTCGTGACACCGAGGGAAAGATGCTGTAATTGGAGGAAGGCAACTTCCTGTCAGTGGATGCATGGAGAACAACACGTGGTTGTACATATATTAGATAGATGTGCGAGTGTGTATATACATATAACTCCAATACTCCGGAGAAATCCTTCATTGTTTGTCCGAGTTTAGACGATGACGACTACGTCACTAACATCTCGCCTTTCTTCTCTTTCCAGCCCGAAAATCTACAGAAGACATGGCTGAGGGAGTTTTACCAGGTAAGTGACGCAGCGCCCAGCCCGAAAATATGCAACGATGTCAGTCCAACCTGTTACATATTGGGGTCTGTCTCGTGATGCTCCACACGGCCAGTTCCCAGGTGCCGAAATGGGAAGCTCCAACTTCAAATGATGGAGTTAAACGCATCGTTTACAGGATGTCGTGTTTGCTCCTGGAGTGTTTGTCGCTCGGCTCGTAAAACGCTACGGGACATGAACCACTGCAGGACACTCCTGGCTGTATAGACTGTATCGCAACGTCCTGATGCAAACCTTAAAATAAATGGTTGTTAACGCTTTTAAACATGTAATGTGTAAATTGAAAAGTCATTTTTTGAATTTAATATGCCGGAATGTAATTAATATGTGGCACCGGAATATTATTTCACTTTTTCTTTTTTCTAAATGCACACAAATTGAGAATATGCTGAAGGGACAATCCAGACTTAAAGGTGCAACGAGTGTAATGCCTGGCCACATTCTCTCCAAACAAATAACTTTTCACCTCCTGCCACCCTCCTCCGCACCGATCGACACCTTTTCAGGCCGTCTACTCGACTAATCTACAGTGACTCACTATCACAGTGGTGCTCAACCTTTTTTGGCCCTCTATCAATGCAAATAGAGGCTAATTGTCTCTCCTGAATATTCGTGGTGATTATTATTCTCTGTCGTATCACTAAAGGAAGCATGTAATTGAGTGCAAAATAACAGATGTGATTAGACTGGACAGTTGGAATAAGATTATTAGTTTCTCAGGGAGCTAATATTAATTTTAATGCACGTTCAAAACACATCCTGCATTTCTGTGTTCTCTGGGAAGTTGTAATATTTAGAGAAAAATAGTTGTAATGTTACGAGAATAAAGTCACGATATTCCACGAATAGAATCTACGTGCCCTAAAGTGTGCTGTGCATTATGTTCTTGCTCTGCACTCTGCTGGCAAAGGTAGTGTTCCTTTCAGACCGTCTGACAGACTATTGGGACTCTCTGTTTATAAAAGCGGCTGTGCGCTGCTCTTAATCGGAGGAGGAAAACCGAAACCACTCCTGATCGGGCGTAAATCTCACCCCTGTGTGGCTTTTTGTACATGCAGTTGTTAACTTCACTCACTTCTCCAAGTCTCAGCTCTGTGCGTTGTGTGGTAGTTATACGGTTTGCAGAGATGCATGCCCGTCAGATAAGAGCCCACGTTCCCGGTCGGAAAGGAGAAACACAAACTACTATTCTGAAAGACTTGGATGTCAACAGGATTTTAGATATGCACACATATCACACTGCCAACCTTTCGAAGGAATGAAAGCCAGCTCGTTAATCAGAAGATGCAAAGCTGGAATATTACTGGGATGTTCATATGCTTTCCATGGATCGTGGTTATATCTGGACCGTGGTCGGGCCTCCTGCCATGGCCCTGCTGACACCCACCGCTACTATCATTATTATTATTAGTCACATCACTATTACCGATACCATTCCTGCTTTTCTTATCATTATTATTCTATTATGTCCACTGCTGCTGTTATTATTAGCAGTCATCATTTTCCCATCATTATTCTGCTTACTACTCTCACTATATGAGTCATTTATGTCATGGCACAGTGGATGTAGTATGGGCTCAGGCCCGGCACGTGTTTGTCATGGGACCGTGAACGCAAACCTTGAGGCTGGTGCACATGACTTTTCTTATTCAGTTGAAGCTCTGTAGATTAAGTCAAGTGAAGGCATGTGCTTCCTCTTGCTACCAAAATCTAGTCGTAAACTGTGATGCACTTACTTTCTGATTATAGTTTCAATGCATTGTTTTAAACATTTTTTTTTTGTGTATTTATATTTTTTCATAATAAACTGATTCAGTCTTTTAAAAACCGAATCTTGCAGACTAACGTTGGGTTAGTCCGCCGTAATCTTATTCACCTTACTCTCACCCCTCTGAACGCACAGTTTTTTTCAGAAGGCAAAAGCTCGAGCTCAGTCATGTTTCGTATCTTACCTTTTCATCTGCATAGGAACCCCAGACTAACCACAACTCTTTCCACTGGGGTGAGGGAAGTGAGGAAGCTAGAGCTCTCAACTGCTGTCTGAAAGCGACAGACACACGCACTGTTGTGCTATGATAACCAAAGTCTTTCTACACAACTCTGGTGTGGTTGTGTGTTGGAAAAAGGTAAATTCAGACTGCTAATACATTCTGCAAGGTTTTTTCATTAAAGTGCGCACATATTGGAGCAGTTCAAATTGAAAAGAAATGCATACTCATGCGTTTGTTCCGATAGTATTTTACAAAAAGAAGAAAATTAGAGTTTAATTTCTTCTGATTTTGTGTAATGTGGGGTGAACACAACACTGTGAGTGAGGGGGAGCTGCCGATGACTCGGCAAGTGTTGAATTACCATGAACAAAAAGTATTATCCAGTGGGATGATCAGCCCTAACGTTAGCGAGCTAAGCTATATAGCTTCGACTTCCTGAGCTAGCTAGCCTAACTTAGCTTGCTAGGTTCCACTTTCCCGAGTGTAATATAAACATAGTAGCATATGTTGAATGTTGTAAATGCTAAATGTGCTCATGCTAAGTGTGCTAGTTGAAAAGGGCCAAATAACAATTCCTCAGTGTTTTTAGGCTCCAGGACTGTAACATTCTCCAGCAAATGTCAGTAAACCGCTGCATTGGGAAATGCCCACCCAGAGGCCTGAAGCGCTGTTTCCACAATTGTATCCCCTTTAGAAAAAAAAAAGTCTTCACAAAAGTGTTATTATAGTTTTCATTTCCTTACACAGAAAGTGAGAAGAATTCAAATGTCAGTCCACCAATGTCACCTCACCAGTCAAAGTCAAACATGGCAGCACTTTAGAAATGAACAGAGGGGAATGACACAAAAAAGAAAGCCTGAATTCATACAAAACAAGACACCCAAGGAGAGACGGAATGAAATTAGCTGTTTCCCCGAATTCATCAGCGTGGACGAGCAATCCTCAGAGCGTTACTCAGCGCCGCTGTCAGGCTAAATAGCCCCGTATTGATTTGTGCGTCGGTGATAGCGGCGTGCCAGTGCCAACCAAGGGGCATTAGAGCCATGAATGTCTGTAGCCTGATGATGTAGCGGCCATGTCTCGGCGGGCCAAACGGGACCAGGATTCCACTTGAGGTTCACATGCGGTCAACTACACCAAGTTAGTTTTTTCATTTTTTTTCCAAAAGGCAGTATAAATCCATAATTTTCACTCTAAAACAAAGCGCTTGGGGTGATTTCCTCATCAGGAAGCTGTTTGACTTACAGCACCTTTTCCAGCTGCAGCCTCATCGTGATCAAGTATCCTGGAGTAACTGCATGTGACCCAGACATTCATTTTCCAGTGACACCACACCCACTGAACATGGGAGCTTATTGGCGAATGAATTTATAGCTGTGCAGTGTAGTAAGAACTGCTGAAGGGGAAATGTTCAGTGAAAGGTAATGCAATGAAAGATAAAAATAACACTTCCGTGGGCATAGCTGGTATACATTACACGGTACCAGTGAGGTAAGGATGCGCTGTACAAACATCCAGTGGACTTGGATTCACTCTGACAGAGAGGGGTTCTATTTCTAGGATGTTACGTTGTCCTGTTTCTCTACAATTCATTCATAATGTATTCAGTTTTTTTTTTTGGAGGAAATGTGTTTCTGTGAGCAAACACACTTTTTTAAGTGTTCCTTATATAAATGCTGGAGCTTTTCAATGCAGAGAAGTGAGTGATATTTCAGTGCACTCAATCTCTGTGTAAATGCAGGCAGGTCGCATCGATCCTACATGAAGAGTCGCTTTTTGTTTTTGGTGCTCCCGTTGGCTCTTAGTGCCGTTATTTGGGCATTGTTACACATAAAAGTAAAGGATCTTCACTTCTTTTTCACAAGATGATTCATCCTCTGTTTCTGCAACAGTGGTAGGGAACTAACTGTAAAAAACATTGTTAGTTCAGACCAGTATGTAAACATGTAAACCAAGTAAATAAAACGACACCTCAAACCCTTTTGAGAAAAGCTGTCTTCTTTACTTTTCCCAGGAAGCCCCGGTCCATTGGTTGTGACAGAAAATATTCCAGACTCACCCTGAACACACACACACACACACAGCCTGACTGTCATTCTATTCAGCCTCAAGCGTGTGCAAGAATACTTTCTGTCACATAGTCAAATATTGTCGCAAGAACATAACGATTTTTACTTTTAGTCTGAAGAGATGGTATTCAGATGCAAGTACAGAATGTGTCATGTACCTCTGAACAGCTCTGTGGACTCTGTATTTAACTGCAGTGCGTCCGCAGTTGAATGCTCTGTGTCTGTAAACGATTTATCACGTCACATATTTTTCCTCATAAAGCCTGAATACAAATCACACTGATTTAAATGTGATGCAGGACTAATAAAGTAAGAAGCCAGTACTGAATGCATGATTCGGTTCCATGGTAATTGCTAGACCACCAGGTTCCATTAACTAATGCATGGACTAATACATGACCACACCGTCAAAACGTACAGCGACAGGTAGTCCTGAACATTACTGTCCGATTCAAGTCGTGACCTGATGTATCACATCTGCAGAGCCATGGAGTAACGTAGGGAGTTACTCCATGGGGCTTAAATCACAATTTATTAGTTTCGTATTATTATTATTAGTTCTGTATTTTGTCCTATAGTGTCTTCTACAGTGGAGAGAGGAATGTTTATCCGCAGGTCATCTTGTCCTAACCAAGAGCAAGACACACGTTTGGCATGCTGATTGGTAACTTCAAACAAATCTGAGTTGCTTTAGACTCTGTCCAACCAATATAAACAAACAAAAAAAATCTCCCTCAATTGGCTCCGATAGCGATCTCTAAAACTGGTTTGGAACATTCCTTTTTTTTATCTCCCACTTAGTCTCACAACAACTAATCTAAATCACAAAGGGGCCTGATTACGACGAAATGATTTTCACCTCATTTGAGAACGTACAGCTGGTCACGGAAGTCAGAAGACT